CTGGCTGAACATTTTAAAATGTGAACCACAAGTAAAATGGGATGTGGGTCATGAATCTGTGTAGTCAGAGAAAGTACATATATCAATTCACCATTCCATTCTTATCACATTGTTTACAGTTCTATTATTATATCAGTATGGAAACACATCTGTTGTCTGTGGCATCAGCTGCAATGTTTGCACACAAACTCTTGAGAGTTGTTCTACTTGAACAAATAAATGCGGTTGAGTCATGGTATGCTGCTATGCATTAGATCACTCTTAAAAGATCATCTGTGTTTTTAGGAATTAATTTAAAGGGTTTTCCAGCTTTCATAAATGAGAATCACCAAGCCCTTGTCTCTAGGAGTAGTCGGTCACATTCAGCTGGAACTGTTCTTGGATGTTGAAGACGTTTTGCTACTTATCCAGAGGCTTCTTCAGGAGCATACCCCAGCATTAATAGGCACACGGGTAATGCGGTCAACTTAATCCAACCACCATGCCATGTGTCAAGGCAGATGCTGATATTCCAAGAACACGATGAGAGGTGTAAAAGTTTACGAAATCATCCTGTTCTAATACAAATCCAATCACCATTGTGCTTTGAAGACTTGGACATGTGTTAATTGTTATGCATTGCATGGCTGAAGGTGTGAATTGTTGTAAGATTGCTCAATGCTCATTAAAGCTGAAAAAGCTACTTGGAGGTTCCTGCAGCAGGAATCCCAAATCAACCAGTGTGAATGAGGCGTTAATGTTTCTTTCTGTGTAGTGTAAACTACACTTCTTTCGAGCAAAGTTCTTTATATTTATTGCTAAATAACCTACCCAATGTTTTCATTCTCATCTGCCTTGGTGTTGGCAATCTTGGTGTTACTGCATTTAAATCAATCTGCTGACACAATGCGCTTCTTATGGACGGAAACGGCAAGAACATTGTGTCAACTTCTTTCATTATTTGAATAAAGGTTTAATAAAAGCAGACCTGTAATGAAAATAAACTCTCCTTTTCTTCTCTACCCTTCTACCTTGTTATAATTAATGACAAAATAAAGAATAAAAAAAACACCTGTGCAGCAAAAAAAAATTAGTCATGTCTAAGCTATAAGATGTAAACTTATAGCACTTTTTTATTTATTACATTTAGCAGTGAGCAGAAATAACAAGTGTTAGGATTGTGTGCTATTGATAACAAAAAATAAGTGTTAAAAGCTGGGTTTTCTCTCAGTTCATATATTAACAACAAAGTGGAGGGTAGCCTGGAGCGTGGTCGCATCTGCATTATATAAGAGGAATTAACAAAATGATAAGATAAGTAGATCAGTGAAGTACACCATAAAAAATAACATCAATAGTTAGTTAATGGTTCATATTCAAAGCATTTTTTTATGGGACTATAGTCGGTCAGCACAGCCATAAACACAAACACTCAACTTTGAACCACTTCTCCATTAACGGCAATGCTTCTGTAGCATGCTATTGTTGGAGAGTGAGAAAATCAGTGGTGGTTTTAAAATTATGTAAAATGTACCAAATAAGGAAGTAGTTGGGCAAATTATGGAAATATGTTCACAACTTTTAGAGATTGAGCCTTTTGCAGGACTGAACTGGAAAGGGATTCAAAGACCCCCGTTACCAGTTGAGTTCCAGAGGTGTTGAGCAAATCACTACAATTGTAGCAAGTCAAATCTTAGTATAGGTGAACCTGCTTGCTCTCTAACTACTAATAATTGTCAGGAAAACACAGTATTTGACAAACATATTGCTTTGGTTTCAGAATAAGTTGTGTAACTTTCAGGTTGCAATTTATAAAAACATATATACAGTATAATTAGCATTTTATTAGTACAAGTGCCATAATTCCTTACATTTATTAAAAAATGATTATGGTATATTGTCATACTTCTAAGGAGGATTAGCTGCCTCCATATAAGCCTGCTCTTTATTTATACATTCCTGTACATATCCTTTAGCTAGGAAGTCAATTATTTGAGCTAATGTACCTTGATGGGGCATTTTGGCTCTACATGTATTTGGAAATGATGCAGCAAAATCCTGTGTTTTTAACTCAACTGTTTAATTAGTTTTGTTGTGCCAACTAGCTGTGGAATTTTTGTATTGTTTTGTATAAAGCCTTGTACACTTTTTTTTGTTAAGTTTAAATTGATCTGAGCCAATCCCATCCTTGCTTTGTTAGAAGATGACCGGTATGTCAATCGGAGAACCAAGACATGATAGCCAAAGAACTTTGGGATCAGTCATGTACTGTCACGTTTTTTAGTGCCAAAATGTTGACTACATATTTCAAAGAAAAAAATTAGCCAAATGGGGAAATCTGAATTCAGGCAAACTATCATTTAGCTCTTCTGCATTTATCCTTGAAGGATACCTCCAAATAGGACAATGCTGTGACTCTCACTGAAAAGCCTTTGCTATATGTTTGTTGATTTTTATTACTAGGGATCTTTCTTTTTTCTTTTGTATGTTATCTTACATAAAGCTACTGTATATAGCAACCTGTGCAACATCTTTTCTCCCAAGGTTTCTAGAGTCTGTGATTTGCTAGATCTTATCATATCTTAAGGATTCATATTCAGAGCTCATTCCTCTTTGTAGATGATCAGTAATCCTTTTTCACAGGAGTGACAGGATTTAGGAAACCTCAAATGCAATTATCACAGCAATGGAACCTAAGCCAGACTAAATTGTTTATTCCATGCCTTCTGCTCACCTGGGCCTGGTAGACAAGCTTTAAGGTCTAAACATCCATATGACTGTCTGTGATAAATGTACTGTCTACCCTGTCTTTCTCTAATCCAATATTTAGCAGCAGAACAAGTTGAAGAATTTTCTATCAAAGTAAAACTAGTAAATATATAGCAAGCACCCCTGGTTTGGTGTTAAAGCAGAACTATAGTAAAAAAAACAACAACTCTATGCTATTCTGTCAATCACTATACCCAAAGGTGGGGACAGAAACCCTTAAGTACCTTAGCTGCTGAAACTGATGTCCTGAGTTACCGTGGTGGCCAATCACAAGACCAATGCCTAGGCATTCTTGGTGATGGTTGGTAAAGAGGAAAATCAGAATTCAGATTGCCTTTGTTTGAAAAATATAACTTTTTTGCTTTTACATAAATACACACATTCTATATACACAAAGGATAACCTATATAAAAAAAGGAACACAAAATCTGAAATGCATGGTAGCCACCAATGTGTTGTTTGGATTATTTACACTTACATACAATTATATGCAATAATAATGTGCAATATAATGACTGATTTCAAACACATGTGAAACGTGACTTCCCAACAGCAATTATTTAAAGCAATTACCCTAAACACTTATTATATAAATGAGATTCCTAAATCATACAAACAAAATCTTGTCTCAGCCTTCATACAAGATACGCAGGGCAAAGCAGCAGGTTTGCTTTGTTGCACCTCTTTACAGCAGTAAATACATTTCCTACACTGCCTTGCTGCCCAATTCAGCTGCCAGAAGTGCAAAAAAAAAACTCCCGTACTTTGGAGTAGGGAGAAAAATGTTGTTCTGACAGCACTGATTGGCCCAGTACTGTCACTTGTGTGTAGATGAATCCTTAACCCTGGGTAAACTCTGACCTGGAGTTTACACTGTCTTTCTTCGCTCCTGACTGAATGGAGCTACATAAAGAAAAGTGGCTGTGTTTGTGGTGAGGGGTCATGAAAGTAAACTTGTTGCTTTGTTAGCCTATGCAAAGCTCAGGCTTCCTTTACCTTTCTAGGTGTGTAGACTAATTAGCTGGAATATGAAAGCTTAACCACCTTAGTGTTCTGGATATCCTGAGAACAAAACATTAGGAGGCAGCTTCAGCCACACCACTATACATGCAGATTAAAAATATAGGAACCAATTACATGGAAAAAGGTTTGTAAAGTGCTGCACATTCTCTTGTGATCCACACACACTCACACACTGCTACCCCTACTTGAAATTGGCAAAGCTTACTGGGTTTTCTAATACCACTAGGGCAGCGGTACTTTGCTTTGTGCAGCTGATTCTTTGACACCAGAACATTTCTTACAATGCAACTTGTTTATTCTTTTGGCTCAATGGTTTGTAAATTGTGAACTTGCATTTGCTTGTAGCATGTAAATGCAAAACATTCAGGTTAATTCGGGATAGAGAGCACTTATTCAATTTAAGGCTTGCTTAGCTTGAAGGTCTTATCGAGAAAATGTAACTTTAAGAAACATCAGATCATGTCAGTTACATAATAGGGAAAAGTGTCAGTGTCTCCGTAGTAGGTGATTATTAAACTGGAAACAAGGTACTAAAGCCACCTGAATTAAGACCAGGAGATGAGCGATCTTCTTAAAATGGTTGCAGATGATGCCAATAGTTTGAGGGGGTTTTTCTCTATGAAAAAGCAGAATAAAAATTAAGCCTACTGGTAATGAATTGGCCATTAGAGATCAATTGAATGTATGCCAAAGACCATCCATTCACAGGGTGAACCAATAAACTCAAGTAAACTGGTTAAGGGGTTATTTGCTGACCTGCACCCGTACCTAAATATGCCTGACTATAAATATTGTTAGGAAAAAGTACTTTGCGAAGGGCATTAATGCCATGAGCATCTTGGGCCAGGCAGGGAGGCCGATGAAGATGATGGTGAAAAAAATGAGACAAAAATAGATTTGTTTTTACATTTTTATTTTTGTGATGTTACAAGAGCAGGATCAGAACCCCGGGCATGACAGAAAGATTGATCATGGAAAAACAATCTTTATATAAATTTTGCTTGCAGCAGCACTACAACCCAGTATGGACAACACTGGTCCAGCCAGCGAGACCACCAATAATAAAAAAAGAAACTCTCTTGCAATGCCCCTTGCCAATATCTAGTAACAACTCTGATTCAAGGCATCATCTCTCCAGACTGTGTCATTATTTGAGTGATAACTTCAACTTCGTCTTTCATATCAACTCCATGTCATCAGAATGTATAACTTTTATTTTTTCTTCACAGCTCCGCCTACTGTTCGGATTATCCATTCAGGCTTGGCCTGTAATATTGAGGAAGAAAGATATTCAGAACGTGTCTATACGATACGGGAGGGAGAAACTCTGGAGTTAACCTGCCTAGTCACAGGACACCCCCGCCCACAGGTGAGTAGGAAAAGCAGTTGATCCAACTAGAAAAATAAATAAATTATTGTAAGGCACCTATCAACTATTTACGTTCAACCCGCAAGCTAAACGGAAAAAATTGATGCGATTCCTCCAGCACAACCAGTGTGACAATCGAGGAATTGCCGCAGTTTGCAATGTATTCTGACAGATGCCGCCAGCACCTGTCAGAATACCCAATCAGAGAGGGCAGCTCATTGGCTGCCCGCTTTGATTGTACGAAGATTTTCCAGCCTTCTCCTTCGATCAGCTAATCGGGGAATGGCAGCTTAAAGGGAGCCGACAGTTCCACACACTGTGCAAATTTCAGCCGGTACATTAAAAACCGGGCGAAATATGGCCAGTGTATGGGCACCTTAAGGCTGAAATTACAAAAAAAGTATTAACAAAAAAAAAATTACAATATAGATCGATCCGGCTTGAAGGGTCAAATAGACCATTTTTTTGTATATCACCACCATGCATTGGTGCATGTGAGGCTATTGGCCTTTTGTGTTTATCCTGGTCACTGAAAGAGAATAATGCAACATTTTAAGTTGACATTAGAACAGGAAAAAAGGGGAAATTTTCCAGTGGGAACACCAGAGAGAAGGTTTGCATTAAAGTAAAGAGATTTCTTCTTAGTTGTGTCTAAGATGCCAGAAGTGAAGTAAGATCTCCCCGTAAAAACACGGGATGCAAAAAAGGACTGGTTTTTTAACCATTCCCTACATTAAAACTAAAATATAGATATAAGTTCTAGTGTCAGTCCTAATGAAATAATATTTCAATTTGGGGTAGGGAATGGCAGGTACACAGGTTGCAGCATGGCACTTGGCCCTATCACCCTAATGCAAGAATCATGTCTAGCTCTCCATCACTCTTGACTTTGGTAATGTTAACTGTACATCCTTGCTGCCACCCTAAGTTGCCTGTTGTAGGCTTGTAAGCAATGGGGTTGATTGCGTTAGTATGACCCATTCTTCAGGGTAAGCACATATACATTAAAGTGACATTAAACTCAGGTGTAAAATTTAAAAAATGCATAAAAGTTCACTATTAAGAAAAATGTATCTTATTTGCATATCACTCGGCTGTAGATTCCCAAATCACCTCTAAATTGGTGCTGACTCTGTCCTTACTTCTGGAGGTGGAGGGGGGGGGGGGGGATAGTTTCTATTGAGATTGTAGTCCATCACAGGAGCTAGCTTGGAGTGGTGACTACTTTACAACACACACAGGGACCATGGGGAACAAGAGTAGCCACCCTCAGGAAGGAAGGACAGTGTCCGCACCAATTCGGAGATGATTTGTGGATCTACAGCCGAGTGATACACAAATAAGATAAAACATTTTTGATAGTGTACTTGAATGTATTTTTAAGATTTAACTCCTATCTTTAGTGTCACTTTAACAACTGCTACTGATGGGGATTGTGAATTGGAACAAAAAAAATGCTTAATCAGACTAGGGAAATGTACCTGTGCTGTCTTCCTTGCCTTTGCACTCATATCCAAGAGTGATAAAAAAGAGGGTTTTGGAGTAGAATGTCTTTTGGCTGCCCCGGGAGTGAACCTCAGCTGCAACAGTTATGTCGGTGATCCTGGTTCCTTTAATAAACACAGACTTCCTAGAATTTTCTTAGATGGCAGTAGCATGATCTACCCAGCTTGCTATATCCATAAAAGATCAAGGCTCCATATATAGAGTAGAGTATTTATTTATTTATTTTACACTTTGAAGAATATAGTTGGAACACTGAAATACTTTGAGGGAAGAAGGAGAGGTAGATACTTAAAAAGTCAATGTTGGCCCACCCATTACAGAAATGTTGCTTTCAGTTGGCCTTGACTTTGCACTTGTGGATGAGTACGGACAACGTAGGAATGAATGGACTGGGGTTATGCCATGCATTTTGTTTGATGGGATATTTAACATGCATTTCACTTAAGGATCCGTATATTTGAAGTAACGTTTTAAAAACACTCTAACACACAAATTGGCTTCTCTAAAAGACAATAATAAAATTGTCAGGAAGTGTGTGGATAAAAGGTGAAAGTCCATGTTTAAAAGCTTTGTGTTTTTTAACTAGAACATTTCTAAAACATTTGTTCCATCCATCCTCTAAAACCATTTATCCTCCCTGGCCTCTCTGTCTGCCCTATACTGAATTCTACTTGTAGGAGATTGTGTCAAGATGGGACTGGGTATATTATTGCTGCGCTGTAATTATGCCTGCAGTTGTGTAACGTGTCATGTAGTCTTGAAAACAAATAATCTGTAGCTTTCGCCAACTTGGTCCTGTTGCTGGCTCTCTGCCTTCCTCTCCGGCTTTCTGTGCTGTGAATCTTAAGCAGCAAGCTGCTACGCATTGTGCAAATAGCAAGAGATGAGAGCTGAAAGACCCATCACTGAGAATGAATCTGTTTATACGGCTATAGTGTTACTCTATTTAAAACTATGTGACAATTCAGAACCTCAAAAACATGATGTGAAAAAGCCTGACAAGTCACATTACGGCGGAAGTGGAGTGCTTTGTTAAAATCAATTTTGGAAGCAATATGAGTAGACTAATGAGAGATCATTCTGCTCTGGTTCAAAGTTGGAAGCTATTTGGTCCTTTTTTCTTTTTTTGTGCTAATGTAAGACATCAAAGGGAAGCTCGAATGGCGATTGCTGTTGAACCACTTTGTCTGAAAAACTTAATATAAGGGTTTCTTTAATGGAATGTGCATCATATGAACAACGACATAGAGGAAAATTAGTTTTTTGAAAAACATCCCATGTCGCATTCCATGCTTAATCATGACACTGTGTTTTTCATGTTTATAATAGATGTAGTGTTGTTTAAAGTGGATATTTGACATGCACAAAGACAGTCACCTTTGCTAGTGCTAATTAAGGACAGAACAGAATGTGACATTTAGGAAAGACAGTAGTCTCCCAGAAAGAAAACAGATGAAAGATAACATACAGAGCATATTTTAGCATATATAGAGGTTAAAAAAATATAGATATATATCTATATATACATATCATCATTATTTATTTAATTTACTATGACTTATTTCTAAAAAAAAATACCATTCACTAAATTTTGCATTGACTGTCTAAGGCAGTGTGCTGCATTCCATCTGAATGCACAAAAATGTGTACATTATGACATGAATGACCGCTAAAAAGCTACAAGGTTAAGTGTATATGTTTTTTTATCCATTCAACTATTTCTTCATAGATCACTCTTCACACCGACTCTTTTGGCTAATAACTGCTCTTCTGTAGCACTATGCTCTTCAAACAGGCTATTCCAATAGCACTGCCATTGGAACATGCAGAAGGGGAAGGACAGAGCTTAAATAGTAATCTACCCAGTGGAGTTTTTAGTTTTGCTTCCTTTTCTGGAACAATCCTAGGCCAGCAAAGTAGTTTCACTGCTATATATTCTCGATGCTATGAATTAAGGCCCAATTAAGGTCCTTTTTACCTGTAGTGTCCTCTACCCCTGCATGTCATGATTAACGACAGATTTGTGCTTGGAACTGCTTAAAAATACACTTTTTTTAAAAGTGCAGTCTCCTCTCCTCATGCTGCAGTGCACAGCATAGCTGAGTAACAGCCACACCCTTCAACACCAATGTCTTTCCATGGACTTTGCACAGAAGGAGTGTGCCTGGCCTGTTTTTTTTTTTGCATTAGAGCACTGCCTATTCTGATATACAGCATTAACAGGAAAGTGGAGATAAGACTATGAGAATGAAGGTTGTTAATACAAAGTGTATGTGACTACATATCTACTTATTTGACTTAGTTGGTCTTTATGTACAGAACTGGCAAGAGGGGAGACATCTTTGTCCAGGGAAGGTGGCTGGAACCAGGGATAGGAAAGGTGGGTGGAACCATAAACCTATATGAAGAGATTCAAATTCCAATTCTAAGGTTCATGGAAGAAAAATTAATCCATACAATCTGATCTTTCTTTTTTGCGGAAGTATCCTTTAAATGTAAGCACCACCCAAAAGTCCATTTCTGGTTTAGGCGAACCACTCATTGTTTTATCCCTTAGCACATCATGTATATGTTTCAATCAAATCCAGTTGTTTCTCTATTCTAATCATATCTATTGATAAATCTAATGTTTTTTTTTTATAACTTTCAAACTGAGTTTTTTGGAAATGCATCAAAAAGAACAGATTGCGCAGACTGAAAAATGCTCAGTTTATGTATTTGATGAGGTTGCAGTGTGTCATATTAAACAGTTTGTCTTTCTGTTAGATTTATTACAACATGCAGATAATATTTGAAGAATGCATTAAATCAATCATAATTTTGACTGCAGTTTTTCTTTTTAATATACAAATTTCGAACGTGTGGCAAGTTAAAAAAAAAGAACAAATCTGAAGCAAACTTTTTTTATATATGGCCATGTTGAGATATTTCCCCTTCCCACAAGAGCTAACCGAAGATGTCAGTGTGTTGCAGCTGGGCCCCTCTGTTATGTTTTATATACAGTTTAGGTATAATCTTTCAGGGGAGCCTGAGATTATCGCCTAGCTGAGGAAGGGCTGTGTGTTTGGGTGGAGCTTGGAATTTTGGTGACTGCCTCACATTTTTGTTCCCAAAAATGTAAGAGCCTTCCATGTGATTCAACTTCTCAGCAACCATGGAAAACAGATTGTTTTTTTAGTTAAAGTGACAACTAAACTCAGGAGTTAAATGTTAAAAATACATTCAAGTAACTTATCCATTAACATAAATGTATCTTATTTGTGTATCACTCGGCTGTAGATCCTCCAATCATCTCTGAATTGGTGCTGACACTGTCCTTCCTTCTGGAAGGTGCCTACGTTTGTTCCCTATGGTCCCTGTGTGTGTTGTAAAGTAGTCACCACTCCGAGCTTGCTCCCGTGATGGACTACAATCTCAATACAAATTAGTAAACTAAATGTGAGTTTGTAGTCCATCATGGTAGTGAGCTTGGAGCGGTAACTACTTTACAACAC